TTTATGGTACTTTGTTATTGCAGCCCTAGGAAACAAATATAGCTTTAATCCACACCTTTCTCATTATTGTTTCTCACGAACTTGTCTTGCCTTTGAAAGGATCTTAAGTCCTGAGAGACAGGAACTGTGTCTTATGTTCCTATTGCCCACCCTATCCCAGACTCCATCTAGCAAAGTGCTGGACACACCTTCACTTGGATATGCTTGATTATTGGCTGGTCACTATTTAGGGCAGGTATTCCTAACCTGGGAGTCCCTGGCTGGTGCAAATAGTTAATGTTCTGGGCTGCTCACTGAAAGGTTGGAGGTTTGAGTTCACCCAGAGGCAGCCCAGAAAAAAAAGCCTGGCAATCTACTTCTGAAAAATCAGCCATTGAAAACCCTATGGAGTGCAGATCTACTCTGACACACATGGGGTCACCATGAGGTAGAGTCAAGAAAAACTTTTTTTTCAAGAAAAATGACAACTTTTTTTTTTTCTTAACCTGGGATGGGCCTCCAGGAGTGTCTGTGATTCCCCCGATTCCTGCTCATACAGAAATATATGTATGTACATATGTGTATTTCTCTGGGAGAAAGAGTCCAAAGCTTTTTAATCGTATCCTTGAAGAGCCTCCAAATGCTAAGGACCTGACTTGGGGAGCTGGGTCTTCTCTGCCAGCAGAAGCTGACATATGGGCACCTAATGCTGCCTTCTTCCTGGAGCTCCCAGGGCTTCCAGGATGTAGGCTCATTAATATTCTGAATGGCTCCCAGGATGTCAGGCAGGGGGCAGGCCTGCTGGCTGATTGTCTTCACTCTGCTGGTGAGGAAATCGCAGCAGGGAGAGGAGGATGGGAGACACAAGGATATTACCCAAGTCCATATGCTGTTCCAGGCTGGGCCCTAGCTCCTGTTCCCCTCCCTCCTCCACACCAGGCTGGGCCTTAGAGGCTTCAGAGCAGAGCAGCTAAGCACACAAAGAGAGGTGGCAGGTAGATGGGAGGCTGAATCCCAGTTTCACCACTAAGCGTTTTAACCTTGCAAAGCTCAGTTTCTCCATTTATAAAGCACAATTAATACAACAATCTACCTCTGAGTGTTATACTGAGGATTTAATGAGATAATTTGTGTAAAGAATGTTCAGAGCCTAGTACATAGTGAGCCCTCAACCATTATTACTATTATTTTTAGAATTTTCCACTCCAGTGTTCTGCCTCTCCAGGCAGGCAGTGCTGGGCATCTGGGCTTAACTCACGTACCTCCCAGCTCTGACACAAGCTGAACCACAGGGCCCCTCACACTGTGCTGTCCTAAGGCCATGGTCAGGGCATCAGATGCCTGAGCCCCCAGCCCCACCTCCATAGGACTGGACGTCATTCAGATTTACCCAGCCCATTGTGGGCAGACAGTTGCACCCTAGAGGCATGGCCGTTTCAAGAGCTGGGACTAGAGATGCATTGACTCGGCAGTGGCCATGATTGTGTGTGGAAGGCCCCAGAGGTCAATGCTTACTGGCAAACGTCCTTGGGGCTGTAGGCCAGGCCTGGGACAGGAGGAGGAGCCCTGGATGGGGTCTGGTCCAGCTTCCCCTGCTAAGTTGCCTTGTGGCACTGGGTATATCTTTGACCACCTGGGGTCTGCTGTCTCACCTAGAAAATGGGGGGTACTTGGAGCTGGTCATCTCTAAGGTCTCTTTAAGCAACACGTTCTGTTGATTCTAGGTGCTAAACAAAGGTTTGAAAAGGAATCAGTTTGAACAGCTGATCTTAGGGCCAGAAAGTTCTGTTTTCCAGTGGGCTAGGTTTTCTTCTCCCCAAAGAGACTGAGGTCCCTAGGTAGTGCAAACGTTTGTGCTCAGCTGCTAACTGAAAGGTTGGTGATTCAAATCCGGTCATTGAGGGCAGAAGCTTTGCAGAAGAAAGACCTGGCATCTGCTTCTGTAAAGATTAGAGACAAGAAAACATTATGGAGCAGTTCTACTCTGTAACACCATGAGTCAGAACCAACTCGAAGGCCAAAGGTTGGTTGGTTGGTTGGTTTTTTTTAGAGACTGAGTGAGTTTCTTATGGGCTCAGTTTTGCCTTCTCCTATCTTCCCCAGTGCTTGCCCCAGTCCAGAGCACGCAGTAGGCGCTCAGGGAGCAGGTAGGCAGACACTTGTCTTGACTCCAAGCCAAAAAAAAAAAAACCTCAAAAGACAAAACAGTTGCTGTTGAGTGGCTTCTGATTCATGGTGACCCCATGAATGTCAGAGTAGAACTGTGCTCCATCGGGTTTTCAATAGCTGATTTTTTGGAAGTAGATCATCAGGACTTTCTTCCAAGTCACCTCTGGGTGAACTCAGTCTCCAACCTTTCTGCTAGTAGCTGAGTGCATTAACTGCACGACCCAGAGATTCCATGGCAAAATAAGTCATTATTCTTTTGACTATGTCAACCACCTCCTGTCTAACCCCACTGGGGCAGAAGCAGAAGAATGAATATACATTAAAACAAGAAGGATGCAAGTTAGATCATAAGAAAAAAAATAATTAGACACTTAAATTTCTAGAGCCAGTTGAGATCTGGGAGTCATCTCTCCAATCTCCACATTTCCATGGTTAAGATTTTCACAGGAGATCTGAATAAGTGTTTCAAGGTCACCCAGATAGTCAGGGGCTCAGCTGGACTTGGGACCCAGCTCTCCTGCCTCGTGGTTCAGAGCCCTTCTTGCTACCTCCCATTGCCTCCCAGGCTTAATCACTGTCACTGTGGTGTCAGAATGTCTTCCAGGAACATCATTAAGATGGGAGAGGCAAGGGAGCTGGGAGGTTGGGAAGCTGAGGGCATGCCCTTGGACCTTCTGAAACCAGTCTCACATTGCAAACAGAATCTGTCTCGAAGATGGAGTCTGGGAGAACATTTTAAATAAGTCAGGGACAGGCACTGCACTTTTGGCAATCATTCTGGAAGCTGCCTGGTGTCTGCCATTGCTACCTAATGAGGCAAGGGCCACCCTGCGTGGGGGCTGGTGGAGGGCAGAAATGGCTGCTGGCAGACCTTAGCTTGTTCCTCCTGTAGTCAGCCAGGCCAACGCTGAGCTTTGTTCCAAATGACAGGACGACATTTTCTTCTCTACCTAAAGGCACTTTATCAGGGCTGAGCAGGGCTTTGAACCTGTTAGGTCTGGTTCGAATCCCTGCCAAGAATTTGTATTTTCTAAATTCCCAGGCGATGCTAATGCTGCTGGTTCGGGATCAATTCTGAGAACCACTAGTAGAGTAGTGGTTCTCAAAATTTACTACCCATAAGAATCACCTGGGGATTTTGTTAAAATGTAGATTCCAATTCATTATATCTGGGGTGGAAATGCAAATTCTCAGAAGGGGTTCAAACCGGAATGAACCGGTTTGAAGCCCTGAGGCTGAGGAACAGCTGGTGACGAGCTCCTCTCTTTCCGTAGGTTGTGAAAATTGCTAGAGCTGTACACGTGTGGTTGGAAAACAAGTGGAAATAGTTGCACACTTTGCTCTACATTTCTCCGTCGTTTAGAAATGCTCCTTTCTTGCCCAGAAACCCAAATCCACCTTCTGTTGAATGTAATCTTGAGAGTAGAGCTGGTCTTACCCAGGCAACTCTACTGGTGTGTTTGTTGGGAGTTGGGAGGGCAGGGTTGGGGGTGGAGGGGGCGGGGCAGGTTCCTGAGGGGCATCTGCATCAAATAATCTTGCTGTTGTTGGCTTCCCACTGTGCCGGCCGGATGCTCTGTCGTCCCTTTGTGATGAGCACTGCCCTCTCTCTCCAGTCTCCCTTGGAATTCTAGCCTGTCTATCAGGAGGCACTAGAGACATTGTATGGTGCTGTCCATCGGCACTATGACAATCACAGCCTGGACTCAAGGTACTTCTAGAGACCCACTTTAGGAGCTCAAGGGTAATAGAAGCTGAGGATCAGTCTTATAAACCAGGGATGTTAAATACATGACCCACATGTACCACTGAGCCCTGGTGGTGCAGTGGTTAAAACCCTTGGCTGAAAATGGAAATGTTGGTGGTTCGAAACCACCAGCTGCTCCGTGGGAAAAGATGTGGCAGTCAGCTTCCATAAAGATTTACAGCCTTGGAAACCCTACGGGGCAGTTCTACTCTATCCTATAGGGTGTCTAGGAGTTGGAATCGACTCCATAGTAGCGGGTTACCCGTACTGCTGCCTCATCCTGCTTCCACAGCAGACATCACTAATTGAATATTTATAGTCACTGTGTTTATGTTCTCTGTGTTCCCTGTTGAATCTGAATTCAGCCTCAGAATCCTTGGCATAGCCAATAGACTCGTGTGGACACGGCCACATTTCATCCTTGTTCTTCAACTGTCCTTAGGTGCGAATAGAATATACGGTTGCAATGCTGAGAGGCAAGAAGGTAGGACTGGAAATGGGAGTCCCTGGTGGTGAAAACAGTTAATGAACTCAGATGCAGTTAATGAAAGGTTGCAGGTTCAAGTCCACCCAAAGGCACCTTGGAAGGAAGGCCTGGTGATCTACTTCATTGAAAACCCTAGAGAGTACAGTTCTACTCTGACACACATGCGACCGCCGTAAGTCAGAATCAACTGGAAGGCAACTGGTTCAGAAACACTTTCAGCATCCCCCCACAACGTAAACCCTCATGAAAAGTGCACAGAGAGTAAAGTAATGATGAAATCCAAGAAAATCAGAGCAAGACGGAGATTGATCAAGTCATTCAGTTTCATACCTGTTCATTTCAACTTACCTTTCCAAACACAGAGAATCACCTGCTTCCCTGTTTCAGCATAATCCCTAAGCAGAAAATATAGCCTTTTAAGGGATGACTATTCCATACCTTTTTTTTTTATTTCTACATGAGCTTTCATATATACCAAGAGCCACAAACACAGTGCTGTTGTTCCAAAGTTTTGCCATGCTCTTCTTTTTTTTAAAAAAATGACTGCGTTCTGACTGCATGTGATATGAAATCTCTTACGAGGCTCCCACGAGGTGGGGCCATCATTACTGGCCTTACCTGCTGCAGAGCTCTCTGGATGTCGATGCCCTGGCCCCAGGGCACAGCTGGGTTAGCTAGACAGTCCCCAGCGTTCCCCCGGCGGGATATATCGATCCTCTGCCTCCGCAGACTCTGGAAAGCCTCAGCCATCACCTTCACTCCATCATACGTGAGCGCAGAGGTGTACTGGTGGGAGGAATGGAGACGGGTAGGTAGCAAAGAAAACTGACAGGGAGGTAGGGTGGGAGCAGCGATGGGAATGTGTGCAGTGGGCCAGGCAAGCTACAAGGGAGAAGGGGGACAGTGGTGAACCAGGAAATGCCTGCTTTTTCAGATGGGGGCAACTAGCCCATGTTGCCCTCCTGAATTGTGAGCTTAATATTGCCGGATATGATTTTTGAAGAGAAGCCAGAATTCTAGATTTTTGTGTACAATCTTGTGATTTTTAAAATGCTGGTTCAATGGGGGTGGGTGGGAGGTGCAGGGGAACAAGAATAGACTAAATAAAACACATCTGCAGGCCAGATACATGCCAGGGAGGAGCAGTTCATTTTCTCTGGGTTACAATCACTGATTGGGAGCCAAAAGGAATTGTTTACTCCACCATCCCTTGTGTCAGTAAAAGAACAAAAGAATTCAAAAAGAGGGAGCTCTTAATTATTTCTGCACGCAGCTTACCCAACTCCTAGGCTTAAGTCCTGCAAATTTTCCTCTTGTGCTTATTCTTGACAACTCTTAATTTTTGTTTTTTTCTTTAACCAAAAGGGGAGTAAGTTGTGGATGAAACAAAACCAGGATAATAGTCCAGGACAATATTTCCTCTCTTGGAACCAGTATCTGTCTTCTTCATTAATTTGTCTTTAATACCTAGCTTGTTGTCAGGCACATTGTAAATTTCTAATAGTTATAGAATGAATGTATACATATATTTCTAATTTTTAACTTTGATTCTCTCACATCTTATAGCTGAAAAAATTATTTTGCATATGGTTATTTTTGTAAGCTGCTCCAATCTTTTGGTAATGAGGAGGGGTATTCACATATCAAACCTGAACGTGATGGAGATTGTGAGGATGACACCAGGCTGGGAAACATTTTGTTCTGTTGTACGTAAGGTCACCATGAGTCAAAGTTGACTGAATGGCAACTAACAACAGCATTCACATATTAATTTAAATAATGCCTATGTGTTTTCTCAAGGAGCTCTGGTGGTGCAATGATTAACCACTAGGCTGCTAACCTTTTGGTTCAATTGGGTTTGAACCCACCAGCCGCTCCGTGGGAGAAAAGACCTGGGGATCTGCTCCCATAAGACTGCAGCCTAGGAAACCCTATGGGGCAGTTCTACTTTGTCCTATAGGGTCACTATGAGTTGAAATCGATTCAATGGCACACAACAACATGTGTTTCCTCATTGTTTTAAAGCACATTTGTGATTTTGTTTGCATAAAATCATATTGGAATATGTCTTCATTCCTGGAAGAGCTAAATCAGCTTGCACAACAGTGGGATGAGAAACATCTCAATTAAACAACCTGATATTCACAAAAAAAGTGACCCATTGGCAAGAAAAAGTCTGCCAAGGATTCACTGTTTTGTGCCAGATAAACAAACTTGGCCTCAGAATCCTTCTCAACACACTGTTTCACACAGCCACTGCCAAGCCATTGGATTTGAAAAGGGGAAGACAAGTTACTTGCTATCCCTATTCTAAGCTATTCTCAAATAGCAAACAAAATAGATTTTGGCTGCAGGATTTTGAGTTGCATTGGTGAGAAGTGAAAGGCAGATAGTTTGCATGCTGAGGGACAATACACCTGCCTGAGACTGAGATCTGCTGAGTATTATTTAGTTAGAGTACCCTAATTTTTAGCTGGGCACATGGCTGACCAGAATAAGGGCTGCCACATTGCCCAATTTAAGGAGTCCCTATCCACATAGAAATAAATGCAAATGGCAACCCCCTAGAGCTGGGTGGCCCTGCCTAGAATAGTGATACCATTTTCTAGCCCCCCTTGCAGCCACCTGGGGCCAGGCTTCTAAGACGTGGCCAGTGGCATGTGAGTGGAAGATCTATGTGTGATTTATGAAGAGTTTTCAAGGGAGCAGTCATGCTTTTCATCTTCCTTTTGTCCTTACTGCTGGTTAGAATTCTGAGGTAATGGCTGGAGCATAAGCAACCATCTTGTGCTATAAGGTAGCAGCCATATGCTGAGGATGGCAGAACAAAAAATAATAGAGTCCTGAGTGTTTGATGATTTTAGAGCCATTGTACAGGCCCTGGACTGCTGACTTCTGAATTTTGTTTACATGAGAGAAAAATAAAATGTCTATCTTGTTAAAACCATTCTCATTCTGATTGACTCTTGCAGCGTGACCCTAATCTCTAAGGATATATTTTCCATAGCTCGTTCCTATTAGAAAGCTTATCTCTGGATCCCAGGCTGGTCCTTGGCTGCCTGCTTACCTTAGGTCTCTTCCAATCCACTCGGGTGTGGTCTCGAGCATCGCTGTTCTTCCACTGCTGCATGATCTTGGCTGGAATGGTGTCTGTGTAGTTCACCAACTGGAAACCTGTCACATTTGCTCCACTCTCCTTGAACTTGTTTAGGTCAATGTCCATGAAGCCCTGTAGAGGAGGGGGGTTGCAGAAGTAAGACTATCCTGCCTGGAAAAATCAACTTTAAATATGTTACAGAATCACAGAACTTTCCATCCTGTTGCACAAGGTGGACATAACTCTAGAGATGGTTGTGCTTCCCTTTCTTTTGAAGTCCATTATCGCTTTGTGCACAAAGTAAGCACTGTGGTTAAGAGCGTTTGCTCTGGAACCAGTCATGCCTGGGCTTACGTGCTGACTCTGCTACTCACAAGTCACTAGTTCTACAACCTTGGACTCAGTTACTTCATGGTTTTCTTGTTTGTATAATGGAGCTTAGAAGGTTGTGGAGAAGATTCAATACTAGGATTCATATAAAATGAGTGGTGCAAACTACACGATCAATAAATTGTGGCTGGGTTATTATGATAACAGGGACATATAGAATAAAGTAGACATGTATAAGAAAGGAATTGTCTCATCTATATTCCTCCCCCGCACCCCCAGCCCTTTTGGAAGAACAAGAATCTATAGTCCATCAGGGGCAAGCTCCTACAACTTCTCCCAAGTCACCAGCAAGCTTGTGGCAGAGGCTGGATTGTGATCTGGGTCTCCATCTCCATCCCCTTCTGTGTATTCTTTCCCATACAACGGTCTAGCTGTTCTCTACCTGATGAAGCCTTACCAGTTCTAACACCCACAATGATTCTTTATTGGGAATGAAACTTTTCTCCCCATTTGGTGAAGTTCATTCAAACTCAGGAAGCCTTGCACTTAAAAAGGAAACCTTTCATTTGTATGATACGGTCAATAATTTACAGTAAGTCCATACTTGTGGCTCATTTCACTTTAGACTATATAAAGTAGAAATTTTTGTGTCTATTTGCCAAATCAAGGAACTGAGACAGAATGACAGAATTGACTTGTATGCAGTCATTCAGTGAGTTAGTGGTAGAGAAGGGATCAGAACTAAGGTCTTCTGTTAATAACTCTCTCACTCACTTGACCGCTAATCATTCAACAAACATATTTGAGGACCTACAGGGCACTATTCTAATAGTAAACAAAACAAGTTATGTCCTACCTTTATGGAGCTTACATTCTAGCGGAGGAAGATAGACAAAAAAATAAGTGAACAAGTGAATAGGTATATTGTATAATCCAGTATAGCACAGTGTAGTACAGTATAATATACTACACACTAACAATGAGTCCTATGAAGAAAGATAAAGTGGGATAAGAGGATGGGGAGGGGAGAGGTCATGTGTTGGAGCAGATAATCAGGATGGGTCTGTCTGAGGAGGTGGTATTTACACAGGCACTTGAGTGAAGTGAGGCCCTGTGATTGAACCTCAGGGATATTTGGAGAAAAGCATTCTTTTTAAAAAGTTTTTAATTGTGCTTTAGTTGAAAGTTTACAGAGTGAATTAGTTTCTCATTAAACAATTAATACACAAATTGTTTTGTGACATTGGTTGTCAACCCTGCAATATGTCAACACTCTCCGTTTCTCGACCTTGGGTTCCCCATTTCTATTCATCCAGCTTTCCTGTCCCCCTCTGCCTTCTCGTCCTTGCCCCTGGGCTAGTGTGCCCACTTAGTCTCATATACATGGTTAAGCTACTTGTGTTACTATTTATTTTATAGGCCTGTCTAATCTTTGGCTGAAGGGTGACCATCAGGAGTGACCAGTACTGAGTTAAAAGGGTGTCTGGGGGCCATGCTCTAGGGGTTTCTCCAGTCTCTGTCAGACCAGTAAATCAGGTCTTTTTTTTTTTTTTTTTTGTGAGTTTCAATTTTGTTCTACATTTTTCTCCAGTTCTGTCCAGGATCCTTATCAGAGAAGTTGGTGGTGGTAGCTGGGCACCATCTAGTTGTGCTGGACTCAGTTTGGTGGAGGCTGTGGTAGTTGTGGTCCATTAGTCCTTTGGACTAATCTCTCCCTTGTGTCTATGGTTTTCTTCATTCTCCCTTGCTCCAGATGGGGTGAGACCAGTAGACGCATCTTAGATGGCTTCTTACAAGCTTTTAAGACCCCAGATGCTACTCACCAAAGTAGGATGTAGAACACTTTCTTTATAAACTATATCAATTGAACTAGATGTCACCTGAGACCATGGTCCCCAGCCCTCAGCCCAGTAACTTGGTTCCTCAGGGAGTTTGGATGTGTCTATGAATCTTCTATGGATTTGTGGGGAAAACCATTCTGAGCAAATACCTAGAGATGAGAAGATTCTTGACATGTTCCAGAAATAGTAAGGAGGCTAGTGTGGCTGAGCTCGGTGATGAGGGGGAGAGGGTGGGAAATGAGGGTATAGCAGCAGCTCCAGGCCAGATCACTGGAACCTTATGTTAACTTGGGTATCTTTTTAGGCATAACGGGGGACCCAGGGTAGGCATTTGAGCAGGGATCATAAAGTCAGTGCCCTTTGGGTTCCATAGCTGGAGAAACTTCCAGATCCCTATGAGTGAAATGGTAAAATGAGCAGGGTAAGCAGTGTGGTAGATGAAGGAAGCCTGGACTGGCAGCCTAGAGACCTGCTCACTGGCCCCAGCTCTGCCTCGGCATCACTATGGCTCTGTGGGCAGGTCTCTTAATTTTTCGTTTTTTAAATTTTTTTTATTATACTCTAGATGAAGGTTTACAGAACAAATAGTTTCTCATTAAACAGTCAGTACACATATTCTTTTATGACATTGGTTAACAACCCCATGACATGTCAACACTCTCCCTTCTCGACCTTGGAGGACTTTTTTTGGGGGGGAAAATATACATAGCCAAAGTTACACCATTTCAAAAGTTTCTACATGTACAGTTCAGTGACATCGATTACATTCTTCCAGTTGTCCTGCTATTCTCACTATCCTTTTCCAAATTATTCCATCACCATTATCTTCAACTCACTGCCCCCTAGGCTTCCCATCAAACTTTTGAGTTGCTGTTGTCAGTTTGATCTCACATAGATAATTCTTTTTTTGTTTTTGTACCTTAGATGAAGGTTTACAGAACAAACAGTTTCTCATTAAACAGTTAGTACACATATTGCCCTATGACAATGGTTAACAACCCCATGACACGTCAACACTTGTCCCTTCTCAAGCTTGGGTTCCCTATTACCAGCTTTCCTGTCCCCTCCTGCTTTCTGGTCCTTGTCCCTGGACTGCTGTGCCTCATTAGTCCCGTTTTCTTTTACGGAGCTGTCCAATCTTCAGCTGAACAGTGAACCTTCGGAGTGACTTCACCACTGAGCTAAAAGGGTGTCCGGGGACCATACTCTTGGGGTTTCTCCAGTCTGTCAGGCTAGAAGATCTGGTCTTTTTTTGTGAGTTAGAATTTTGTTCTACATCCTTCTCCAGCTGTGTCCAGGAACCTCTGTTGTGATCCCAGTCAGAGAAGTCAGTGGTGGTAGCCGGGCACCATCTAGCTGTATTGGACTCAGTCTGGTGGAGTCCGTGATAGTTGTAGGTCCCTTAATTTTTCAATGACTGAGTTTCCTTATCTAAAAAATGGACTTGATGACTCAAAGACACCCCCCTTTCATACCCATAACTCTAAAGTTCCATGATTTTTTACTGTTTCTCTCTTATAAACAAACCACGCTCAGTCCTACTCAGGGCCTTTGTCCTTGCTATTCTTTCTGTGGAAATGTGCTTTCCTTAGTTGGCTCCTTTTCATCTTTCAGATCTCAGCTGAAATGCCATCTCTTCAGGGAAGTCTTCCTGACCTCCTGCCTAAAGAACTGATTCTGGCCCTGTGGTAGACGCTGCCAGGGCTGGCCCATTTCGTCTCTCCTTTATACACTGATACCTCCTGTTACATCCTAACCACAAACACCTGTTACTCTGCCCATGTACAGGGTGAGCCAGATGTGTCGGGGAGTTAGTGCACCCAGAAGCAGCCCTCAACCAATGCCGGAAAGAGAGTTTGTAGGTTATACCCCAGAATCCTCTCCCCTGGGTAGGGCAACCCTGAGGTATGTTCTACACTGAGTTCTAGAGATCTCAATAGAGCTCCATGGCACACAGTGGTAACTGGCTAGATTAAAACACAGACACACACACACACACACACACACAAACATACATATACAACAAAAAAACAGTTGCCGTTGAATCAATTCTGACTCACAGTGAGCCCAGGTGTGTCAGAGTAGAGCTGTGATCCATAGGGTGTTTAATGGCTGATACTTTGGAAATAGATTGTCAAGCCTTTCTTCTGAGGCACCTCTGGGTAGACTTGAACCTCCAACCTCTTACCAGCCAAGTTTGTTAACCGTTTGCATCATGTTGGGCCTCCAACTTTTGAATAATGCACCTTTATTGTGTGCCTTTCCTTCCCTGCCTCACTTTCCTACTTCCCTGTTGGTGTTCTGGGATCAGCACCTGTTGTGGATTGAATTGCGTCTCCCAAAGATATGTGTTGAAGTTCTAACCCCTATACCTGTGAATGTGACCCTGTTTGGAAATAAGGGTTTTCTTTCATTATGTTAATGAGGCTATACCAGAGCAGGGTGGGTCCTAAATCTAACCCCTCTTAGTGGTATCTTATAAATAAAGCACAATAGACATGAAACACGCAGGAGGGAGACAGAAGCCACATTTGAAGGATACATCTACAAGTAGCAAAAGATTGCCGGCAGTCACCAGAAATTAGGAGAGAGATCCACAGAAATACTCAACATGGCCGAGACCATGGACTTCTAGCCTCCAGAAACCTGAGATAATAAATTTCTCTTTTTCTTCGTGTAGTTGTAAAGATACAAATAACACAACTTTAAATTTCTGTTCTGTAAAGCTGCCCACTTGTGGTGTTTTTTTTGTTATGGCAGCACTAGGTAACTAACACAGGACCCAAAGAAACTATTTCCACATGAATTCTTGATTTAGTATCTGCTTCTGGGCAAATCCAAATCAAGTCACCCCAACAAGGAGTCCAGTCAATTCCACTCAGAGCCCTGTTAAAGTTTCTCCAGAGTGTTTACCACCAGTGGAAATTCTCTGGTTTACTCATTGGTTCCCTTGTCAATTGT